CGCCTTGTATTCATGGCTCAGAGATGATGTTGATGCGCTCGGTGCATGGCCAAGGAACGGCTGAGAGGGGCGCCGGATTTGAGGGACACGTTCGAAACCAAACTAGCCACATTAGTCAATGAGCTATCACAGTGTACAGAGTAGAGCAAACTTACCGATGAACTTCGCCGACTTGAGGTCTCAAAGTGAGCGGATCGTTTCTCACGCAGATTGGCCTGGAGTGCGTAGCCAGAATCGCTACGCGAGATGGGAGTACTGGGCATGGGTGGGAAGACTGTCGATACAGGAGAAACCTTGGGCGAAGGCGGAGATTGGTATGTCTTTATGGTAGTCGCTGTGGAAGGACGGTCGTTTCCGCGACTGGACGCACTTGACTGTAAGAAGGCGTTGTAGATTAGAGGTCTGGAGCTTGGTGATCCGACCATTGTCCCAAAAGACGTCGAGTTCAGCCCGACGTAGTTCTGGACAGTCGAAGGATGTGCTCTGTACGAGAATACCCCAGGATTCTCGGAGGCGAAAGTGTCGTATGGGAAGGCTTCTACCGCATAAGCAGGGGGGCCAGTAGGTACACCGTAGCGCATATGATGCGGTGCAGATTGTTGAAGGAGAGACATAAGTTTCCGTCGCTGTTGGCGTGGTAGTGGTGGCGGTGGTGGACCGTTCGAGACTATTGAATCAGCATCCAGGTCGACGAGCACATAGTCGTCGTCGGGGTAATCGGCGGGCTCGTAACGACGCTCGATTCCTACGATGTATGGGCATGGCGCTTCTATCGTCTGCACCAGACGAGCAGGCAAGACTGGAATGAAGACACCAGCCCACTGGAAGGGATACAGCAGGTTCGTTATCGCCATGCTGGCCAGATGTAGCATAGCCGTGTGTGAGGAGAGGAGAATGATCCTAGCTTCCGAGAGCACATACTCAAATAGCGTAATGATGTTAGGGATGGACATGCATCGGAACAGGGCATAGATGTCGATGTTTCGGGACCCAGGCAGCTCATTGACTGCCTCTTTGCGGGCGTACATGCGAAGCTCACGGACTGCCAGTTCAACCTGCGTGATGGAGGTAATCGGACTAAGAGCCTCTGCACACAGGTTGACTACGTACCGCTCGAGCGGCTGCCACATACCAACTCGCGGTGAGCTGGCGGGGACTCGCAGAATCGCGCCAGTAGTCATTGGAACGACAACGGCCTTGAGCCACTCCTTCCAGAAAGGCGTCAAACTCGCATCTCGACCCATTACACCATAAGCACGGGGGATCCAGAGTCCGGTCTCTCCGTCAGTCAGTCCCTCGATCTTGGAGGCGGCACCGTGCCTTACGGGACGAAGTAAGTCGGTCATGAGTTGAATCTTCTCTTCAACGGCTCCAATCTGGTCGTCCAAGTCGTCACGCTCTTCCGAGTCAGGGGCCACGGACGGAAGCTTAGTCAGTAGTTGCGATAGTTTTGCGCGCTCCAATGCCAGGCGCTCGCCCAAACTGCTTGCCAGCTCGCGCTCCTCTGGATTCATGTGCAAGTTTCGCCATTCCTCACATTGGCGCTCGAGGCCCTCTGCAGCGGTGGCGTTCAAAGGCAGCCAGACGATGATGGTTATGCCGTAGAGTTTGGAGCCATCTCCATTCGTCATGGCGAAGCCATGCCATTGGCTCTTTGGGCGCTCGTCAGATGAGACGACACTAACATCATTAGGAAATGCAAACATGGGCACGTAGTCGGGAAAGGGATTGCGCCTCTTGAGTTCCTCGACCATGTTCCGTGGCGGGTAACGATCTAAGAGAACAGGCTCGTAGCGGCGTAGCAGAGGATGCATGTCCGGCTCCGGGTTGAATGGCTGCGGTGCCGGTATGACGGAATTGTACCCGGACATGCGCTTCGACGTTCGGATTGAGGCTGCATGCACGTCAGTATGCGTCGATCAAAAAGTAAATAACCCATGTCAAAGCCAGAGGCCAGGGCCCTGCCCTGCACAGATCCTGGTCGGACATAGTGTGGAATGCAACTTACATTGTCTTGCGGTCGACGACTGGCGCTTCAGACTGCTCTGCATTGTGGAGATGCGCCGTCGAATGCTGCCAACGCCAGACCTGAGGTTGCCGACGCCATCGTCATTGTTGGCTTGTGACACGCGCTGTGGCCTGGGTCGCGGCCTCGTGGGGGTGGAGCGGGCCTGTTGCGCAACACCAGCAGTAAACTGAATTTCCTCGAGAAAGGTATCACGCTCGGACGCGAACTTGCGCAGTGCAATGTCAAAGTCCTGGTCGCTGAGGCCGGAGCCGCCAAGCTGTACGCCCTTGATGGTGGCGCTGCTCCGATTGCTCGCAGTCTGCTTGGGATCTGGGCCAATAATGGTGCAATTGGACTGGCGGTTCTCGCTGAAGCGATTCGCAGAGCGCCGACGCGTGGAGTCGCCGTTGGAGAGGCCATCCTGGGAGGTTGGGCGGATCGAATCGGTCTCGAGGGCGCGGTCCTCTTCAATAGTCTCATCGACCGGGGGCTGGGCGAGCGGGGAGGTGACTATGCCATTGCTCTGGGTGCGCTCGTCGTAGACCTGCGACGACTCGATGCCGGAGATGAAGAAATAGTCGGCGAGCGGGGTGGACGACTGCTCGGCGGTGGACGAGGGAGCGGGCGCCATGTTAGATGGTGGGCATAGGATATCCAAAAAGATGGGCGATTAAAGAGCGTCGTGGGGTTGCGCGGTCACGGCGTGTGGGACGTCGAGTCGCCTTGTACTCTAGGTCATTGGAGACTGGGGGTCCGCAGCAACGGGTGGTGGTGAGGCTTATGCACGGGAAGGGCAGAGCGAGTGCGACGGTGACTGAGGGCGCGGTTGCACGGGGGCGGGTGGGCGGCGCTGCGTGTAGACAGTGGACGGGAGACAGTAGATGGTAGACAGCGAGGTTGCTCTGGCGTGTCGCGACGGCGGTTTGCGGGCGAAAAGAGTGAATGGGGAGAGGGTTGGCGGAGAAGGGTTCAGTGCGCTGCGCTCGGTCACAGGCCAATTCATAGGGACAGACTCCGGCCTGTTCGAGCAGCTAACCCACAAGCACTCTTATCGCTGGCGGAAGACAGTCTAGCGCTTAACCGCTCCCGCGCTGAGCATTCGACTGCCCCTCGGCCTGGACCGGACTGCTGCACTCTCTTGCAGTGCAGCCTGTCAGCGCTGCCGGCCGCGAGGCGACGCGCGCCTGTCCATGCAAGGCACCCGCGCGCAGCACCTTCATCTGCCCGCAGAGTTTGGCGTAGACACAGCGTCCCACGGTACGCCCTCCATCGCCCAGCGTGGCCGTGTCGCTCCACTCGACGCACAGGCGTCTCCGCCCGTCGCTGTGCCGTCGTCCCATGTCGCGCTGCTAGACCCTGTCTTCGGAAAGCACGACCAGGGGGCGCCGCTTGGTTTGGGAAGGCACGGCCTGAGCCCAGCCTGCTTTGGGCGAAGACGGATTGGCCGCGCTGCATTGCGCGTTCAGGGGTCGTCGACGGCCTTCACCAACACGACGGTTATTGCGCCCACAGCCATGGTGGTGTGCGTGCAATTTGCATGTGTTTCACCTTCAGCGTACAGCACGCATACACGGTATTAACTCTGCGGTACGAATAGGGGCCTGCCTGTCGTGTCCCGGACGCGACCCCATACTCTGCGCAGTGCTTGCACATCTTCAACCTCCCGAGACAAAGAAAATAGACCGCCCCACGCTGACCTGCAAACTGCCGCCCACTCTCCACCCCGTCCAGCATTATCTATGCACCGAACCTGTCATATGTCAGGCCAATGCCACAGCATACCGTACCTCTGGCTGCACATACATGCATACAGGTACCTGCGGTACGCTCTAGCCAGCCCGCCGTCGTATGCTCTGACCACCATCTAAACCGTTGTCGTTTCAACTCTGCTTGCCTAACTGTACAAAACGGTGCACATCGGTTCCACCAGGACATGTCACCGTATCTATCTTGTCTTCGGTGTTGGAGCTGCATACGCCCGCCCAGAGACGCATGTAGCATATAGCCATGTCGATCCGCGGTCGGCTGCCGATTTCGACACACAAGCTCCTCAAACGGTTACTGCTTGTGCTCTCCCATGTAATCTGACAGCTGCAGCCACCTCAAAATACTTCGTCTGTGCTGCTCAATACATACGAGCTCTACAATGTACTTTCCATCACTCGGCGTCTGCGTATCTTGCATTCCTGGGGGCCGACGATCAAACATCTCACGCTCTCGTATTTGACCGAGATAAAATGACTCCCCACGATCGCCCAACCCTCGAGTAGTTCGTCAGACTGTCATGACATGTTCCCGTGTCTGTCGCCTATTCATCTGCGCCATTAGGCCGGAATCATGGGGCTCCTTGCTCCTTCTGCCGCGCTTCACCAACTTTGCCGTTGTTTCCACCAATTTCTTCGGGTTCCCTCAGAGCTGACTGCGCTGTTGTTCGGTCTGCTGGGCGCACTAGTGGTCAATGCCGTAAGACTAGACGTGCTTTTTGAGGAGAATTGTTCGCGTGGCTCCAGCTGCATCCAATGCCTTGATTGTCCAAGTCGATCTTGCTTTTGCGTTCGCTCCACACGTCGATCGTCCAAGAGATCCTCCGCATTCCGGCTGTCTGTGTTGGACTTACCCATTGACTGTGTGACAGCGATCTGAGCATGTTCGGCATTACAAATTTCCATCGAAATCTCCGCAACCCCACGCATCCATACATGGACCTCGATATAGCCGGTGGTAGACAGAGGTACAGTCATACGCGAGTAAATATAGTCAAGAGGTTGCTTTTCAATCTTCGGCGACGAAGTTCGGGCTACTCGATTCATGTTGACACAGCGCACGGAGCAGGTTCCGAATGACTTCAATCAACGCAAACCTACCGTGGTAGATCGACAATGCAAGACCAAGCGCTTGGAACTGCAGGTACGGGCGTCAGAACTTTCGGTCGGAGATATACAAACCGTACCGACGTTAGAGCGCGACGCAAAGTCTATTGGACAAGACACGCTCAGCGCCGAGCCGTAAGCCATCCGGTGCTGAGAGAGCCCCTGTCGCCCAATGCGCTCCGCCATTGGATAGCAAGCTGACCCAGCACTCTTTTGTTGTCTTCCGTCATGGAACCTGTCATCTCTTCGTCCTTGTCGCTGGGCCCATGTTCGAGAAGGAACGCGACTTGCACCACATCCCGTGGGCTCAATATCGGCGCATTGATACGTGAGGCTTGCATATCCCAATTAAGCGACGTAGATCTGAGGGGTGGTTTCGGGTTTACATTGACTGCCTGTTTGGAGTCAGTCGTGGTTCAATGCCTACTAGGGGCAGGGCTGTGGTGGTAGGCTATCTGAAGCAGCGAAATAGCGCCGGATCTACAAGACTGCCGGATCGGACTCTGCGATCGAGCTAGTGATGGAGCCGAAATCCTCAACGTAAAGGAGCCGCTCTGACTCGTTGTTTGGAGTAAATGATAGTACCAACACATGAATCGTGAGACTTAGAACGCGTCGACGTACCTCTAAACAGACTGCAGCTTCGCCCATGTTCTCCAGTTGTGCCTCCAGGAGGTATCGAGAAGATCCACTCTTCTGCCCAATCTCTCCAGCTTTGGTGCGCACACTCAATAACTGTTGAGCCACGAACTGGTACAATTTGCGAAATGTTCGGACTCTGCCGCTCGCTGCCCTTCCTTCTCCTAGTGCGGTCTCTGTATATGTGACAGTCACAGCCAAGACATGGTTGCCCTCTTCCTTGAGCTCAAATCGTAGGATACGTTGTAATGATTCCGCTGGCCCTGGGGACACGTTCTCTGCTTCTTCTTGTAGACCAGACAGATCTAGGGGCGACCCCGCAGGATTTGACGGTGTTTGCATATCGCCCTGTATCCTCACGCCACTAATCGCCTTTGTGTTGTCGGATGGATCGAGCTCGTTGTTCGCGCATAAAGTGCAGGAGAAGGTCTCGCCGACGTAGGCGCTACCAAACGCCTCAGGAAGGTTTAACACGGGACTGAGGACGAACTGGTCTTTGGTGTCGTTCGGTGTGGGGTACGCGAGCGACGCCTTGGGCGATATGCCTAGGTCTTTGGAGTTCGGGAGAGGGTGCTGCACCGCGAGAGATGGACGAGACAATCTGGAAACGACGTCAATACGCAGAGTCCCCAGCTCATTGGCATGTCCATGGCATATGCATAGGTAGACAAGTCGGGTGGATGGTCATGAGACGATGCGACGATCAGCTTTGCGACAGGACGCTATGCGGAAGCAGCATAAAGGACGTGCCAACATACCGCAGAACCTTTAGGCTGACGGAGTGTGCCGTCTTGAGGGAGTCTCCCATTGCTTGCCCTCGTTGCTGGGCCATCGTGCTGGCAGTCGTGTTGCGAGGACCTGTGACGAAAGCGGCCAGCCATGAGCGAAGCTTGAGTGGGGCGCAACCCTCAGGGTCCAAGCCTTCGGACCGCGGACTTAGCGCGGTGATAAATTTTTGTGATGTAATTACCAAAAGTGATGTCGTGGGTTTGAGAGGAATGGACTGCTGACCGGTGTCATTATTGTATCCTTGTAACTATTCTTGCTGCTTTGCGAAGTGCCGATCTTCTTACTAGGTACCATGGGTTTCCAAACAGCGCCGAACGACATCCCACTTCAACGATGTCCAGATATTGTCCTGAAGGTTGATACGCCAAAAGGTACGTTTCTCGAGATGATGGCAGATCAGTTGTAGTGGATGACTAACAAAGCATGTAGGGCGTGGTGTTTTTGCTACCAAAGACATACCATCAGGGACCACGATAGACATATGTCCTGTATTGATCCTAGGAATAGAAGAAAACAAGAAGCACATAGAGCAGACCTCGCTTTATCATTACACTTAGTACGTAGTTCTTTGTTTTGAGCTGCTGTATTATCGCGCTACCACCTCCTCTGGACATGTAGCATGCGTACGCATGTGCGGGCATCGGCAGTTGTAGCAGGTCGATGGCCTTACATTTGATCAAAGTATCTATTAGAGGTGGTTGGAAGTACCCAAAATCTGACTCATGCTAGCAATTGGCCAATCGTAGGCACGGACGGTAACAGCAAGGTCACACAAGCCATCATATTCGGATTGGGAAGCATGTTCAATCACTCGACCCAGGAACAAAACGTAGGATGGATGCGGGATACTCGACGTCAAATCATCACGTATCGAGCTTTGAGAGACATTGCTACAGGCGAAGAGCTTTGTAAGAGGAAGAGCCGAAGCTGATAGCCAAAGACGCTGATAATTGCAGGCATATCGTACGGAAGCCACCTAACCTTCAAGGATGCAGATGTTCCACCACCAACGCCACCAGAAGACGAAATTGAACAGCTTCGAATGATTGACCCATATTAAGTAATAGTTAGAAGTACAGAAAGTACAAGGGTTCTACGCGTGTTTGCCACAAGAGAGAGAATCGCCGGAATAAGACAGGTCAGAAGAGATGTGGGTAGCCAGTTTGGGAGCGATCGTCTTACGCCGAGATGTACAGCGCCAATATGAGAGAGAGAGGATACATCAGGTGCTAAGGGGCTCGGGCTTTTCGGTCGATGGCGTGACATCAGCGGAGCTGTTGTTGTCTTCGGCATCGTTTCTCAGGTCGTAGGCGAGCTCGAAGCATTCCTCCAGAAGTTGTGTTACGCGTCCTTGTCCATCGGGTATCTCTTCGCCAACCATGAACTTGCCGTCTACCCGCATGTTGTCAATTGAGTTCAGCTATATATGAGTCAGTAGACGTATCGATATATTCATGGGGTGGTGCACCAACCTTCATACTGTATGGGTACAGCTCTCTTGGTGAGGATACACCTCCCAGCTTCTTGACTTCGAGTAAGCATTTCCGAAGTGTGGTCAGCTGGTTGTATATTGGCAGTAATGCCTCTGACACAGGCTCTGAAGTTAAGAGCAGCTGGTAGATGAGAGCGTAGCTCTTCCTGAGAAGATAGAGTAGTGTCTGCATCACGTTAGTCCGTGGGCGTATAGACAATCACGTCTGTGAGAACATACCCTTTGCTCGTAGATCTCAGATGGACGTCCAAGTGCATCAACGAAATTACCGTCAACGCGTGCCTCGTCTATGCGGTCAAGCTGGCGCTGGAAATCCCATAGATCAGTCTCACGAAGGGACCATGCCTGTGTCAGAGTGAGCTTCTCGAGTTTGTTCCGGATAGCAAGAAGTTTGTCGTAGGTGTCTTTGAAAGCGGGCGATATGCGTCCTTGCCTGCTCAGGTGTTAGTCCGGATCGTAAGATTAGCGGGATGCACCAACTTTTGCTTGATCAACGTGACCCAGAGCAAATTACGGCGTAGCAGCGTGCCGATGAGAGTCTTGGCGTCTGGTGCGGCCTCGGGGTGTTCGGTGGCTAGTTGCATCTTGTCGACCATCTCGGCCAGCTTCTCTTCAGTGGTTCCCTCCGTCTCATACGCGCGAATTCCGTGTTCTTTCAGCTCTTCGTCGAGTTTGTTGAGCTCCTCTGAGTACTCCTCAACCTCTTCAAGTGGGAACTACAGTTCCGGTCAGTACACGGTAACGGCCTATTCGGAGTTTGCTAACCTTCGATCTTGCATTGCAACCGCAAAGGGATCGTAGTATCGAGACAAGCTTCTCCCACTTCGGTGTCAGGTCGGGTGTCAGTCCGGATAGGTTCAGCTTCAGTTCTGCTAGTGTCTCTTCGCAAACTTTGATACGAGCATCGAGGAGAGTCAGCAGATGAGGGCTGTGACCTTCCTGCCCCCTTTCAACATAACGCCGGCAGTCTTGCAGGTTCTTGTCCAGGGCTTCCAGATCCTTTTGCGAGTAGAAGGTGGCTTCTTTGAGATGGTCCAAGAGGCGCTGTGAGTTGTTAGACATTGACGTGCACATGACCTCCCACATGTATAAATACCTTGATTGTGGATATGTATGAGTAGCTGGAACACTGTCAGTAACTTCGTATACAGCACATGACACCGCCAAATACTAACACTGCTGGTGGTTCGTGGTTCTTTCCGACGGTCAGATACGCAAGTGATATGAGCTGAAAGCAATCATCGAGCATGTAATCGACTATGCGACCAAGTCAGCATCAACAAGCCACATTGGGCAGGTGGCAACGTGACATACCTTTGTTCTGCTCCAGGCGCTTAGTTTCCCGTATCTCGTTGAGAATTATGACCTGCTCGATGACTTGGTCGTACAGCTTCAAGACATCTTGGCTCTTGACATAGGTGGACCGATCACGCTTCAGTAGTTCCAGCTCCGTCCGTATGGACTGCAGCTTGTCGAGGATGGGCTGCTCCTTCGGATCCAGCGGAATCCGTGGGAGTGGGGAGTCGGTCATTGTGTGCTGCAGACGCTGATCGGCGCTGGTTGGGGAATCTTTCGGTGGGGTTGAGGCTAATCCGAACGGTGGTGAAAGCTGGAACTCTGCAATATGCGAACTTGGAAGTAGCCGGTCGGGAAGCCAAGATGCAGCTTGATAGCGGGGAAAGTGCCCGGACGTCACCGAGGGGCAAGCTGCCTTCGGCCAACGCGCTAACGCCTGATGCAGCTAGACGTTGCTAAGCGAAAGCCACGATTAGCGCCGTCCACACCATCAATTCAATTCACCAGCGCCGACACTCTCAACATCTCGACTCACGACAATATCACGATCACATCCGTCGCAATGTCTACCTCCGAGCTCGCCACCTCTTACGCCGCTCTCATCCTCGCTGATGACGGTGTCGACATCACTGTACGACTCCCGAGGTGCAATTCGCAATCGCGGACACAATGGCTAATTTGAACAGGCCGACAAGCTCCAATCTATCATCAAGGCCGCAAAGATCGAGGAGGTCGAGCCCATCTGGACAACTCTGTTCGCCAAGGTGCGCATACACGGACACGCTGGAGCAGAACACGGAATTGATATGTGAATAGGCTCTTGAGGGCAAGGATGTCAAGGACCTGCTCCTGAACGTCGGTTCAGGCGGCGGTGCTGCCCCCGCTGCTGGAGGCGCTGCCCCTGCCGCTGGCGACGCTGCCGGTGCCGAGCCAGCTGCCGAGGAGAAGAAGGAGGAGGGTACGTCTACCAAATATCCCTCGCTGAGCACAGAACGGAGACTAACACACAACAGAGAAGGAGGAGTCAGACGACGACATGGGCTTCGGTCTCTTCGACTAAGCGTCTCGTTTCCCTTCCTTTCTTCGACATTTGCCTTTATCGGGGTTGCAAAACGGATTCATCAGCGGGCATATTCCCATTGCTGGGGTGGGACAGTCACGACTATTCGGTGACACGACTTGCATACGGGCCCTCCCGGAAGAACAACGACGGCGTCATGAGATATGTTAGGTCGGCAGGTCAATGAATACTTCGAAAAGTGCAACAAACGGGTACACGTCGTGATGTTTCGGAGCGGTAGTTCGGTCGCCATACCAGCCATTGTGATGTTCGGTTTGTGGCTATGAAAGGAGCTTGATATAAGTGATACATTGACGTGACTAGGATTCCTAATCATGCACTAGTATTCCTTAGTCGGATAACCTGAGTTCGGATTCGCGCATTCATATCATCGCTTACATGGGCACTCCTCTCAACATATCATTGCCCAAAGTCAGTACCTTAGCCTACCTTTACTATGAGGGACAGGCATGAATCCTTATGCTTGTGAAGTCCTTCGCAAGTACAGCTCACATTACATGTCTTCATGCCAGACCCTTCAGTCCTCCAACTCCGAGTTGTACTTTCCATGGTTAAGTGGATCTGCATCAGACACCTATACAGGCGTAGCTTTTGCCAATTACCTCATTCTCTTTCGCTTAGCCGCCATCTTTCCTTTGAGACTACCTCTCAATGTCAGTCCTGCCAACATCTAAGACTTCCATAGCATGTATTTTGTGCTTCTCACTACTATCCACATTGGTCCTCTAGAACATTAACTGTTCAGAAGACTGTGGACAACTCCTCGCTATACTTGGCGAAGGGGCCGGTCACGCGCGCCAGTCTGATTGTACAGAACATACCCACCAAGATTTGTCGCATGTCTTTGTCGTCATGAGAAGAGCCACTACAATGCTTCATGAAAAGTGAAAACTCGCTATCTGGACAATGGAAGTAGCTGACGACTTCTGTCAGCTCCGCTCATTTACAAGGTAGTAGAGTACTGTCATTGCGTCGTATCGCATAGAAACAATGTACCAACAAATCACGCAAATCACAGTGACAGTGAATCTCAAAGTGAAAAGAGGCAAGCTCGAAAGCCTAGACCAAGACCAATTTACCACCACGTGCAGTAAGCCAGCTTCCCCGACTGCTCCTTCCATTGCAACTACGACCCCGACAACTCGTCTGGAACTACACGAAAGCAGGCCTATAGATAAAACAGAGCTCTACGTCTACGATGTCAATGGGAAAGATCGCAAGAATGAAGCGCCCCAGGTATTTCAAAGAGTAACTCTCAAAAGTCTACGGGCTGATTATTTCCTAGTGAGGCTGCCCAAGAGCCCGTCTTCGTCATTGTCGAAGTAGGCGACACCAAGACCAAATACCACATCCATCGCTCGCTACTCGTCGAACACTCCGATTACTTCAAGAAGGCGTTGAATGGTCCTTGGAAAGAGGCACAGGAAGGTGTCGTTAAATTGGAAGACGTTGAGTGCAGCACGTGTGAGTATAGAGCATTCAGAAGTATGCATCACTCAGCTGACAAGGCGATAGTCAGCATCTTCGTCGACTGGGTTTACACGCAAACTCTCCCAAAAACCTGCTTAGAGTGGTGTGACGGAAAGCGTGAAGATTACTCGACACAGATGGAAGGCAAGGCACAACTTGCACGTACCAAAGCTTTGATTTTTGGCGATCGAGTTCTGTCTCCAGCGTTTTACGAAGCAACTCGCGACAGCTTGATCAACCACCTTATCAAGAAGAGTACATTATACGAGGCTGTGATCCATGGCTTCGCTCATCTCCCCAAGGATCACGCAATTCTCGATCTCTTTGTGGAGAAGCATTGCCGGGATTATGAGGATGCAGATGACACGGTTGAAAACGGTGAACTCGTACTTCGATCTAGTCTTCCACATGATTTCCTCATGCGCGTCATGATCCGTTATAGTCGCTTCAAAAAGGAAGGGGTACCGCAAAATGACGTCAACCCGTGCGATTATCATGGCCATGCGAACGAAGAGGAGAAGAAGCAGTGCCAGGCGGAGGTAGATAAGGACTGAACGAAAGCCTCCGACAAGTCCACATGGGAGAATGAGTATGGCTTCAAGGCCAGGTGCACAATATGTGTCATGCTCAGTACTGTGCTCGTAGTTGCATACTCAGATCCAGGATAATTTACATATCCACTTGCATACAAACAAAATATGCACCTACTCCATGCCCCTATGCAGATACAAGTGAAACCTCAAATACGGAAATGTCGAATTAGCTATAGGTCGTTGGCACGAAGCAGCTCCTCGTCGTAAGACATGCCGTTGATGCGCTTCTTGGTGAATTCGAATGCAGTAAAGAAAATAGCGTTGACTATGCAGGAACGAGACATGGAGACACCGAGGCCTTGAATGGGTCAGTAGAAGTCTTGCGACTTTGGGAAGGTATGCTCACCTCGATACATCCGGCGACTAAAGAAATGTATCTTAGGGCGCGTGGCCTTGTCTTTGCCTCCAACGAGGCAATTTCGCTGGTAGATACTCTTTGCCGTGTCGATCGGGAAAATCTGCAATACTCATTAGTACATGATTCAAGACCCCATAGGAAGCGAAAGCTTACGCAGGCCCAGCTAACCAGTCCACACAGTCCACCAGCCACGACTACAGCCAATGGATGTGTAGGTGAAGTACCTCGCGCGTTGGCTAGAACCTGTTTCACACTCTCGTATGTCACAAAGTAAATGCCGGTGCCGATGGAATCTCTTACTGTCTCTTGTCAGCGCTTGCCCTTCTTCCCAACGGTTTGCGGTTAACTCACGTAGATGCAAATGGAAGCCCGAGTACAGTCCTGTCCAACCCCGATGTTTGACCAGATTTTGTGCCGTCTTCCAGGTTCCAAGATTTTGGTAGCTCTTGCGGACCGCTTCGTTCTTGCCGCCGCCATCGTTGCGCTCAGCCATCAATACGGAGATTTGCGCGCTCAACTTCGTCAACTCGAAGGGACCTAACTCAATTAGCTAGCGAAATACAAACGGCAGTAGATTTGTCATACATGCGATTACTGTGATTGCGGCACCCGCATTGACACCTGCCAGCCCGAAGCACGCAATCGTCGAAAACGTAGGCCACGCATCCCGGGTATTAGCGATAACAAGCGGGGAGCTTCCGGTTGTCTGGTAAATCCAATTATCGAGCGCGTATTTGGATCGCTGGTATATGGAGAAGGACACGGTGCGGACGAGGGTTATGCTTGCGAGAGGAGACCAGACACCTATGACGCGTACATTAGCGGGTGTTGGCCATGCAGCTGTGAGCGGTGAGGCATACCACGGTAGAAGCCATGGAAGCCTTCAGTTTTGTAGGTGTGGCGAACGCAGTCGGCGAAGGAGTTGAACTTGTAGCTATGCCATGTTAGCCGTGTTCCACGTAAGTCCGGGGGGCTGGCGTACGCTTGCAGGCGGGTCTTGACCGAGTCGAGAGGATACTGGAAGCTATCAGCACTGGCGAAATCAATGACGCTGTGTCTGATAGGGATGCACATACAGCCGCAAATGTAGAGAGCAGACTGCTGGAGCTTGCAGCGACCTCGGTGCGGTACTTCTTGGTCCATCGCTTGGCCTGCTCACTGCGCAGGACGGCTCTTGAAACCTCGGTCAGATCTCTGGGTCTATTTGGAATGTCCTGTTGTACATTTGGCCTCCCCTCGTCCTGCTTAGGCATACTGGCTATCGCTAGCTGTGGAAGACGGTGCAGTCTTCCTACGGCAATCGCGATCGGGCCAGCAGCCGGGCAAGCTCCATGAAGACCGCGGCGTCGTCAAGCTGGATGGAGGGAACGTGGGTGCGCGATTGGTGTCGAGTGCGAAGGTTGGTGGTGGAGAGGAAGGTCGGGCGACAATGGCTGATGTTGGCGAGAGTGTATAGATGCGGAGCGCGGTCATGGAATGGTGGGGTTAACCTCACGCTTTGTGCAGCTCGCATCCCCGAAACAGTCTAACGGCCACGGAAGGATGAAGCCATTGGCCGCAGGCGAACGATCGACGCAACGACCTGCACATGTACCTATCTATAATATCCCTCATCCAGCGCCCGGCAATCGATCCCCAACTTGACACCAGCACATGACTTTGCTGTTGAATCGCGCCTGCCATCACTCAACCAAATCTCGTGGCATGGCACGCGTTTGAAAGCTACCACAGCTGAATGCGGGGTTCGCTCCAGGGCTCACATGTGAAGCTTAACACATCCATGTCTATAGCTCTGGCAAATCACAGTTTATCATTACGGCAGCTAGCGTTTTCGAGCGCATATGTTTCGCTGTGAATATATATACCATGTCATGCTGTGTTACTTCGGCGCGTTCAATTTGCTATGGTTAAGCTTTCGCTGCCCGTGATCAAACAGACTGCGTACCTAGATAGAGGTGAATCTGCTCCGGGCGCGTGTGACAAGACACTACCGGCCGCGGACCGTGTTGTTAGATCGACTTAAGTTCTGCTGTACCCAAGCTTACCTCTCTGCTGGTGTTGGACAATGCTGAACAAACCGGTGAACGCCTTAGCCGCTAAACGTGCTCGCGTGCAGCTTCATTAGCAGCATGGTGCAATTCTGGCCTCTTCACAGCAACGAACCTGATGATAATATTTCTTTGTTCAACGATCCTTGAGGTTCGTAGACACATAGGTTGAGGTGTTAATGTGTCTTTCTATAGTTTTTGTTCTTGGTCATAAAATCAAGGCCTACTGAACGACCCTCGTACGTTGCTACCATCAGGGCTTTGCCTGACCGTCGGGGATCAGTCCTTCTTTCCCATGATCTTCCTCAGTTCAGCGTCGTTCTCGGACCTCTCTACTGGCGCTTTCTGGTTCTCCTCGACCTTCTGTTGTTTCTTCTTACGAATGTCTCCCATAAGAGCTTCGCTGAACGTCCCTCTATCATCGTCCAGCCTGTCCATCTGACCATGTCGCCTCATGCTCTCCTTGTGCCAGCTGATTTGCCCACCGTCTGCCTCTCGATGTTTCTTCGCGTTGAGCTTCGCCGCGCGTATCGACGTCCGGGCATATACGAAGAGAAGGCCAGCCATGGTAAGGGCCGCTAAGGGTGCCATGACGGTCTGGGACGTGTTAGCCGATGTGGGGATTACAAATCTGGACAGAAGCCTCTTACACGGCCATTGATGATGCCTCCGCCTCGTGAAAGACGCGCTCGCGCATTGGCCGACGTTGGCTTGGAGGTTTCGCTCATGCCATCGGCCGCCTTCGGCATGGAAAGCCTACCACCCATGACGAGGGTAGTTGATTTAGGTAGAAGTGGGTGTGAAGGCTTTCAGCTAAGAGTGCGACACTCGGCAATGTCGCAAGGTCCGTGGTGGGGATGGTCTGATCTCTTTGGGTAACTGTCGATGCTTCAGGAGTCAGGATTCAGGATCCGAGAAAGTTTGAACCACTCTCATAGGCTGGCATGGTTTCCTGCCAACATCTGTCGAGCTTCAGTTGACTTGACCGACCTGAAGTTGCGTGGAGTCGTGTGTCGCAGGTGGGCTGGCCTGGAAGCGATGATCCAAGTAGCTATTGGAAGCGGTCTAGCGCATGCACCTCCGGGATGTCCGCACGCGTAAGGCCGAGATCGCGTCACCGCCGGCTGCTCCCATAATCGCAAAATCTTAAATCGCAGCATTACCAAGCGACACACATCGGTCGCTGAGATAGCATTGCGTGATAGTTGCAGACATTGTCTTGTTCGTCCCCGGTCTGGAACTTCTAGCCTGCACAGAAAGCAGCCATACCGCATACCTAGGTACTGCACCTGCGTGGTTGGATTACTTAAGTCGTCCAATCCAGCCTCTGAATGCAGTAGTAGCTTTGGAATCTAATTATTCTGACGTACTCCATAAGTATCCGCCCTCGGCCGCGCTGCATCTTAATGCAAAGAACAGCTACCTTTAGACTGCGAGCTCTCTCGACGAGTCTCCGTACCATTACCCCTCCATCTACAGGACAAACTTCTCTCCTCCGAACGCACTTCCGCCCTTCACAAACCGCAGTGGCATCCGCACGCTTATCAAACCTCTCGTCTCACTTCTCCACCTCGAGCATCACCATGTCGTCGCAACCCAAGGAGTGCGATTACCTAGTAATCGGAATTGGCAGCGGTGGTATTGCCTCTGGACGACGAGCCGCCAAACACGGCGCAAAAGTCATTGCGATCGAATCTTCACGATACGGAGGTACCTGCGTAAACGTCGGTTGTGTGCCGAAGAAGGTTACTTGGAACGCAGCAGCGATTGCCGAGACCTTCAAGGATGCGTCCGCATACGGTTTCAAGGTTGGCGGGGTACCGGAGTTCGACTGGCCATACTTCAAGAAGAAGCGAGACGACTACGTCAAGCGGCTGAACGGCATCTACGAGAACAACCTGAACAAGGACGAGATTGAGCACTTCAGAGGGCGCGCGAAGTTTGTGGCCAAGGACGAAGTCGAGGTTGCGCTTCATGATGGAGGCTCCCAGCGCATCAAGGCGAAGCACATCCTCATCGCGACCGGTGGACGACCGAAGCTACCCGATATTCCTGGCAAGGAACTCTGCATCAGCAGCGACGGCTTCTTCGATCTCGAGAAGCAGCCCAAGAGCATTGCAACGAGTGGCGCTGGATACATCGGTGTCGAGATGACTGGCATGCTTCACGCACTCGGCTCGAAAACACACTTCTTCATCCGCGGCGACAAGCTCCTCCGAACCTTCGACCCCATGATCCAAGATACCGTAACTCAAGAGTACGAGCGTCAGGGCATCAACCTCTACAAGGGTACACAGATTACAAAGGTTGAGGATATTGGCAACGGCATGAAGCGCGTCACCTACCAGAACAACGAGACAAAGAATGAGTCGACCGTTGAAGTCGAAGAAGTTCTCTTCGCAACTGGACGTGACCCCGAAATTGAAGATCTCAAGATCAAGGACTTCGGCATCAAGCTCAACGACAAGAACCACATCGTGACCGACGAGTACCAAAACACCTCTATCCCCAACATCTACGCCATCGGTGACGTATGTGATCGCGGTTTCGAACTCACCCCCGTCGCCATCGCCGCTGGAAGACGCCTCTCCGACCGCCTATTCAACAACCAGCCCAAGGCACACCTCGAATACGAGAACATTCCCTCTGTCGTCTTTGCCCACCCAGAGATCGGCTCTATCGGTCTAACGGAGCCCGAGGCCCGCGAGAAGTACGGCGACAAGATCAAAATTTACAAGACCGAATTCAAGGCCATGTACTTCGCTATGATGGACCCCGATGAGAAGCAGCCCACAGCTTACAAGATCATCTGCGCGGGCGAAAACGAGAAGGTCGTCGGTCTGCATATCTTGGGACAGGGAAGCAGCGAGATCCTGCAAGGGTTCGGTGTGGCGATCAGGATGGGTGCCACGAAGAAGGACTTTGACAACTGTGTGGTAAGTAATCACCCAACCTTCCATTCCCGTTTCGTCGTGCATCCGTGCATGCATAAGCGGCAATGCATCGGCTGTCGACTGCTGCAGCTGCCACGTTTGCGGGGGAAAGGAACGGCATTGTGCAATCGGCGTTTGAGAACATGGATGCTAACATGTGCTTCTCCCGCAGGCTATCCACCCCGTGTCGGCCGAAGAACTCGTCACCATGACTTAGACCGGTTGGCGTCTTGCATAGTCGTCCGACGCATGATATTGTATAGATTAGAGGGGATAGCTTATACTGGCAAAGATCAGAGGAGTCGAAACAATCATCTAGCTAATTACACACTCGCACTTCCAACGCATTGTCCCCCGAACCTGCTTCGCGTGACGAACTTGTATCTCACCACTGTGCCACACCGATGCAGTACAATATGACGAATCAAAAATCGCAACCACACCTCCTCGGAGATCAATACCAACATGCACCAGACCTTCTGACCCCTCTGACATGAGTCCCTGCAGCCCCAAGACCTTGGAGAGAGCTTGTTCCCCCGCCATCACAGGTCGTACCCGTCACCAACTGCCAAAGGGTCCTATCATCAAACCGAAACTAATGCACACGCGATACGCTATACGTGAATCCGGGGTCTTAGCGAGCGACCGTGCAAAAAGGGTCTACTGCACGCCGATGGCACATTGTAGCCGGTGGCTTTTGCAACGGGCAAATTGGTCAAATGCCCGTTGCACGGTGAGCATGCAGGGTGAGGATTGACTCGAGCAGCTTGTTGTCTTATGGTGTGTGTGTGTGTGTGTGTGTGTGTGTG